AAACGGACCGTCCGACAGCCTTTAACCCCCCCACACACAGCCGCAGCGGCGCAGAGAGCGCACCGAGCGGCTGCATGCGCGCCGCGCCGCCGTCCGCCTCCGCCTCCGCCTCCGCCTCCTCCGCCGCCGCCGGCTTGGCATCGCCGAACAGGGCTGATCCGATCCTCTTGGCGGCGGCAACCTGCCTCGCCACGTCTGCGGCGTGCATCTCGCGCAGCTTCGGCAGCGACGGCTCGAGGTGCGGCAGCACTTGCTCGAGCTCGACGGCGCCTGATCTCGGGTCATCTCGGCTCATCTCGGGCTCGAGGTGCGGCAGCGCTTGCTCGAGCTCGACGGCGCCTGGAGCAGCGGCGCGGAGATCACCCGGAGATAAGATGGGCCGAGGTTGCCCGAGATTGCCCGAGGTTGGCCGAGATCGAGATTGCCCGAGATTGCCCGAGAGCGCGCCTTGCTTGAGGAGGAGCCCGCACAGCGCGTACAGCGAGTGCGGCGTCGCCTCATCCACACATTCGGCGCCAACTCACCCCTCCGCAGCGCGCGACGAGTGTGCGGGCGTCGCCTCCGCCTCGTAGAAGCGTCTTGGCGTGCAAAGGAAGTGTCTAGGAGGTGTCTAGGAGGTGTCTAGGAGGTGTCTAGGAGGTGTCTAGGAGGTGTCTAGGAGGTGTCTAGGAGGTGTCTAGGAGGTGTCTAGGAGGTGTCTAGGAGGTGTCTAGGAGGTGTCGGAGGTGTCTAGGAGGTGTCTCGGAGGTGTCTAGGAAGTGTCGCCTCCGCCTCGCCCTTGTAGAAGCGTCTTGGCGTGCAAAGGAAGTGTCTAGGAGGTGTCTAGGAGGTGTCTCGGAGGTGTCTAGGAGGTGTCTAGGAGGTGTCTAGGAGGTGTCTAGGAGGTGTCTAGGAGGTGTCTAGGAAGTGTCTAGGAAGTGTCACCTCCGCCTCGCCCTTGTAGAAGCGTCTTGGCGTGCAAAGGAAGTGTCTAGGAGGTGTCTAGGAGGTGTCTAGGAGGTGTCTAGGAGGTGTCTAGGAGGTGTCTAGGAGGTGTCTAGGAAGTGTCTAGGAAGTGTCACCTCCGCCTCGCCCTTGTAGAAGCGTCTTGGCGTGCAAAGGAAGTGTCTAGGAGGTGTCTAGGAGGTGTCTAGGAGGTGTCTCGGAGGTGTCTAGGAAGTGTCGCCTCCGCCTCGCCCTTGTAGAAGCGTCTTGGCGTGCAAAGGAGGTGTCTAGGAGGTGTCTAGGAGGTGTCTAGGAGGTGTCTAGGAGGTGTCTAGGAGGTGTCTCGGAGGTGTCTAGGAGGTGTCTAGGAGGTGTCTAGGAGGTGTCTAGGAGGTGTCTAGGAGGTGTCTAGGAAGTGTCTAGGAGGTGTCTCGGAGGTGTCTAGGAGGTGTCTAGGAAGTGTCGCCTCCGCCTCGCCCTTGTAGAAGCGTCTTGGCGTGCAAAGGAGGTGTCTAGGAGGTGTCTAGGAAGTGTCTAGGAGGTGTCTCGGAGGTGTCTCGGAGGTGTCTAGGAGGTGTCTAGGAGGTGTCTGGGAGGTGTCTAGGAGGTGTCTAGGAAGTGTCGCCTCCGCCTCGCCCTTGTAGAAGCGTCTTGGCGTGCAAAGGAAGTGTCTAGGAAGTGTCTAGGAGGTGTCTAGGAGGTGTCTCGGAGGTGTCTAGGAGGTGTCTAGGAGGTGTCTAGGAGGTGTCTAGGAGGTGTCTAGGAGGTGTCACCTCCGCCTCGCCCTTGTAGAAGCGTCTTGGCGTGCAAAGGAGGTGTCTAGGAGGTGTCTAGGAGGTGTCTAGGAGGTGTCTGGGAGGTGTCTCGGAGGTGTCTACGAGGTGTCACCTCCGCCTCGCCCTTGTAGAAGTGTCTTGGCGTGCAAAGGAGGTGTCTAGGAGGTGTCTAGGAGGTGTCTAGGAAGTGTCTCGGAGGTGTCTAGGAGGTGTCTAGGAGGTGTCTAGGAGGTGTCTAGGAGGTGTCTAGGAGGTGTCTAGGAGGTGTCTCGGAGGTGTCTAGGAGGTGTCTACGAGGTGTCTAGGAAGTGTCTAGGAAGTGTCTAGGAGGTGTCTAGGAGGTGTCTAGGAGGTGTCTAGGAGGTGTCTCGGAGGTGTCTAGGAAGTGTCGCCTCCGCCTCGCCCTTGTAGAAGCGTCTTGGCGTGCAAAGGAGGTGTCTAGGAGGTGTCTAGGAGGTGTCTAGGAGGTGTCTAGGAGGTGTCTAGGAGGTGTCTAGGAGGTGTCTAGGAGGTGTCTCGGAGGTGTCTAGGAAGTGTCGCCTCCGCCTCGCCCTTGTAGAAGCGTCTTGGCGTGCAAAGGAAGTGTCTAGGAAGTGTCTAGGAGGTGTCTCGGAGGTGTCTAGGAAGTGTCGCCTCCGCCTCGCCCTTGTAGAAGCGTCTTGGCGTGCAAAGGAAGTGTCTAGGAGGTGTCTAGGAGGTGTCTAGGAGGTGTCTAGGAGGTGTCTAGGAGGTGTCTACGAGGTGTCTAGGAAGTGTCGCCTCCGCCTCGCCCTTGTAGAAGCGTCTTGGCGTGCAAAGGAAGTGTCTAGGAGGTGTCTAGGAGGTGTCTAGGAGGTGTCTGGGAGGTGTCTCGGAGGTGTCTACGAGGTGTCACCTCCGCCTCGCCCTTGTAGAAGCGTCTTGGCGTGTAAAGGAAGTGTCTAGGAAGTGTCTAGGAGGTGTCTAGGAGGTGTCTAGGAGGTGTCGCCTCCGCCTCGCCCTTGTAGAAGCGTCTTGGCGTGTAAAGGAAGTGTCTAGGAAGTGTCTCGGAGGTGTCTAGGAGGTGTCTAGGAGGTGTCTAGGAGGTGTCTAGGAGGTGTCTCGGAGGTGTGTACGAGGTGTCTACGAAGTGTCACCTCCGCCTCGCCCTTGTAGAAGCGTCTTGGCGTGCAAAGGAAGTGTCTAGGAGGTGTCTAGGAGGTGTCTCGGAGGTGTCTAGGAGGTGTCTAGGAGGTGTCTAGGAGGTGTCTAGGAGGTGTCACCTCCGCCTCGCCCTTGTAGAACTGGAACTTGAAGCCGAGGACGTGCGGCAGGTACTGCGGGAGGAAGAGCGAAACTCACTCATAATTGATCAATGAATTAATTGAATGAATGAATTAATTAATTGTTATCTAATTGAGCAGGTACTGCGGGTTGAAGAGCTCGACTCATTCATCATCAACTACTTAATGACTTAACAATTAATCAGCCCTCTCCTGCGGGTTGAAGAGCTCGACCAGCGACCGGTGCGACGCGCGGGACGGCACCGCCTCGAGCGCCTGATGCAGTCGTGGATTCCGCCATGATTCACAAACAGAGACTTGCGGGACGGCACAATCTCGAGGAATCTCGAGGAATCTCGGGCCATCTCGCGGGGCATCTCGCGCAATCTCGAGGCTCGAGGACGAGGTCGAGGACGCGATCTCGGAGAATCTCGCGCAATCTCGATCAATCTCGCGCAATCTCGCGCCTCGAGCACGAGGTCGAGGACGCGGTTTGGGTCGAGGTCAAAGTAGCCGATCAGCGACTGCGGCGAGGCCATGGCCGGTTAGGGACGTGTCTGGGACGTGTCTGGGACGTGGCTGGGAAGCGTCGAGGAAGTGTCTCGGAGGTGTCTAGGACGTGGCTAGGAAGTGTCCTTGCGCCTGGACGTTAGCGACGACTTCGGCGGCGCGCGTGCAGCCGCGGGTGGAGGTGCCTGGTGATTGTATGGTCAGCGCAGCACTTAATTAACAATCACTCATTAATAATTACGCCGCGGGTGGAGGTGCCTGGTGGTTGTATGGCCAGCGCATCACTGTATCTCCCCATATCTCCCCGTATCTCGCGTGTGGACGTGCTCGGCGCATCACTTTATCTCCCCCATATCTCCCCCACATCTCCCCCGTATCTCCCCCATATCTCCCCCATATCTCCCCCATATCTCCCCCATATCTCCCCCATATCTCCCCCATATCTCCCCCGTATCTCCCCCATATCTCCCCCGTATCTCCCCCATATCTCCCCCATATCTCCCCCGTATCTCCCCCGTATCTCCCCCATATCTCCCCCATATCTCCCCCATATCTCCCCCATATCTCCCCCATATCTCCCCCATACCTCCCCCATATCTCCCCCATACCTCCCCCATATCTCCCCCATATCTCCCCCATATCTCCCCCGTATCTCGCGGACGGAGGCGCCGTCGCGAGGCCCGGCGGGTAGCTCCGCCAGCTCGGTGACCAGCTTGGAGTAGCCTGTTCACAACGCGCAGGTGTGAAGAGACGCAAACGTGTCTAGGAAGTGTCTAGAGGTGTCTCGGAGGTGCCTCGGAAGCGTCTCGGAAGTGTCTCGGAGGTGTCTCGGAAGTGTCTCGGAAGTGTCTCGGAAGTGTCTCGGAAGTGTCTCGGAGGTGTCTCGGAGGTGTCTCGGAGGTGTCTCGGAGGTGTCTCGGAAGTGTCTCGGAAGCTGCACCCTCGGAGCCCTCGCGAAGCAAGTTGTACTTTTGCTGCGTGTAGAGCGCGCGCGTGTTGAGGCGGACCTGCCGGAGATCACGCGAGATCACAGCCGAGATTACTGGAGATATCTCCGAGATTACCCGTGGTGAGGTGTTGAGCGGGAAGGGGCGCGTGTGTGCGTGTGTGCGTGTGTGGGGGGGAGGGGGGGGGTTAGGGGGAGGGGAGAGGGGGGGGGGGGGAGGGGGGGGGGGCAACCGAAACTGCAGCACAGCTGTGCGCACGGCCGCGCGGGCTATGCTTCTTTTCCTAGGGAGTGTCTAGGCAGTGTCTAGGCAGTGTCTCGGAAGTGTCTCGGGGGTGTCTCGGGGGTGTCTAGGGAGTGTCTAGGGAGTGTCTCGTCGCCGCGCCTGCGCCCGGTGGAAGTCCGAGTAATGTCTCGGAAATGTCTCGGAAGTGTCTCGGAAATGTCTCGGAAGTGTCTAGGAAGTGTCTAGGAAGTGTCTAGGAAGCGTCTAGGAAGCGTCGCCTGCGCCCGGTGGAAGTCCGCGTGGCTGGCGACGAGGCCCGCCTCCTGCAGCATCTCCGGATCGAGACGCGCCTGTGAATTATCAACAATTAATTATTAATTATTAATCACCGCCTCCTGCAGCATCTCCGGGTCGAGACGCGCCTGTGAATTATCAACTATTAATTATTAATTATTAATCATCGCCTCCTGCAGCATCTCCGGGTCGAGACGCGCCTGTGAATGGTGACTCGGTGATTCTTAATTAAGTAGTCGCCAGGCATGGCGCGGGCAGGAGGAGGAAGAAGGAGGTGGACATGGCGTGGACATGGCGCGGGCATGGCGCGGGCATGGCGCGGGCATGGCGCGGGCATGGCATGGCGCGGGCATGGCGCGGGCATGGCGCGGGCATGGCGCGGGCATGGCATGGCGCGGACATGGCGTGCAAGGGACAACCAGCGCACGCCCCCCTCCCCTCCGTGGCGGCTGGGCCGGTCCCGCGACTGCAGCTCCCTCCCTCCCTCCCTCCGGCCCCTCCCTCCCCGGCGCCCTCTCCCCACCCTCTGCCTGCTCTCCCGCTGCGGTGCAAGCGCCGCCCGCGCCTTGAGCAGCTCAGGCGCGACCATAGGAACTGTCTCGGAAGTGTCTCGGAAGTGTCTAGTCGCCGCGCCTTGAGCAGCTCAGGCGCGACCAGCTCGGCCTGTTGGGGGGGGGGGGGGGGAAGGGGGGGGGGGGGGGAGGGGAAAAGGGGGGGGGGGGGGCCAAGTGGCTAAGCCCACCGAACCGGGGGGCAAAGGGGGGTGGTTTGAAGGCAAGGGGAAAGCCCCCCCCCCCTGCAAAAACCCCCCCACAAAAGGGAAAAACTTCTGCTTTGGGGGGCCCCCCCCCGCCTCCTCGCTTTTTTCGGGCTCAAAGGGGAGGCCCAGAAACCCAAAAAAGTCGGCCAGGGCCCAATGCCCCCCCGGGAAGAACGCCCGGTTAAACAAAGCCCCGTCCGAAAAAACCCTCCCAAACCCCTTCCGTTTTAAGGCGCCCCGCAAAAAGGGGGAAAAAAAG